TTTGCTCTGGGATATTCATTTCCGTTAGGCTCTGCCTTGTAGATCCCAGGTCTCAAAGCAATTTATTAAGCAAACCGTTAACATCATTTCACAGAACGTAAAGAAAACATTCTCAAAAGGAACGTAAGTTAAAATCAAGATCCATGATCTCTATATTCTGCTGTTCTCACAAATCCAGGCTCTCCATCACTAGGGGACTGCTCGCCAGTGCCTCTCCAAGTTAGGAGACCACACGATGCTGCTCTCGAAGTGAAATGAGAAATCAGTTGGTTTTTTGTTTTGCACCTGGCCCGGAGAAAAAGTATCTATTTTATACTATGACGTTTCAGGTGCACCCTGACGCTACAGCATCAGGATGCCACAAACATATTTTAGAGCTAAAATTAATCTCATTATGTGTGATACCAGGGGCTACAGAGAACAGAAAGCCACTGATAAATCAAGTTTCAAAATCAATGTACATAGGTGTTGTACGTGCATAAAATATTTCTGGAAGGATGTACCAAAAAACTGATGACGTGGATGTCAACTGGGAAGGGGCTCTGGGCGAATGGCGGGCACAAGAGGGAGGAGAATCTACTCGTCACTGCAAACTCTTTTGTAGAAATTTCGTTCTAGAAACACACATTACCTACAGGAATGCTTCTCATGTCACCTCTTGAACTGCCACCTCCTCTTCTCTCCCTGTGCTGTCCTCCACTCCTTCCAGCTCTCCAAGCCTCCACCCTCAGTGGCTGGAGACATGCAAGCTATTAATGAACTAGAGGCTGACCACAGAACTCACAATAAGAGTAGCCAAGCGGAACCAGGAGGAGTTTTTCAAGGTCACGTCCCTCATCGAGCCAACCCAAGATACCAAGTAACTCTTCACCTCCATAGCAGCCAACTTGAAACAGCAAAAGCTCGGCCTTCTCATCTTCTTTTGGCGGCGTACAGGTCAAACATCGTAACTTCAGAATCAACCAGCCAATTCTTTCCTAAGCAAGGGTATCATGCAAGAATCTACTCAAAAGAGATCTGAAGCTAAACAGTATTCCACCCCCAAAGGAGTCTCTTTGTCCCAGGGCCTCGTACTGTAACAGACACTTTATTTTCAGTCTCAAATCAGGACACTGAATACTCCGGGGCCTCTAAAATGTAGGAATTATGAAGAGAGAGCTTGTTGAAAGGAAAATAAACCTGTAAATCCTGTTAGGCTTTGTGCTTCGTTCCAAAGGATTTTTCCCCAAAACAATACCATTAGCATAAACCAGTATGATAGCCCTAAAAGGGAGGATTCTGTAAAATAGAATCCCAGCTCTTCACTCAAAATAACTCTCAGCACAGGAAAATCAGGGCTCCTGGAGGCCTTGCCATTTGTATCCTAGCCACGCCACCCAGGGAGCCAACTCATTTTCACTCTCCATTTGTGGGCTTGCTACGGTCCTCCCCGTAAATACCTTTAATATAATGTGAGTGTGCTTCCTACCCTCCGGGCCTTTCTCCTTCCAGATGTGCAGTTGGTCCACAAATCGTTAAGGGCCTCCCAAGTGCCAGGGAAACACAAAAGAGAAAGATTTGATCCATGCCCTCAAGGAGTAAACTAGAGAGATGAGACAGCTAAGCAATTCTAACACAAGGCAGAAAAGGCCTCGTGCAAGCTCAAAAGAACTCTTCCCACAAAAGCCTGGGAATACCAGGAGGTATTCCTTGGATGTTGACGAATGGAATAGGGGTTTTCCAGGCAAGGACAAGAGCGGAGGAAGATCATTTCAGGCAGGAAAAAAAAGCAAACATGAACAGCACAGAGGTGTGGAGCTGACATGAAATCAAAAAGAAATTCAGTGTGGCCATGAATTAGAGACACTTCCCCCCACCACCTTGGATTTAGCCTTTTGTAAAGAAGGACCCAACTTCTAAGCTTTGGACTTGGACAGAAAAGTCTGAATATCTGACAGCAAATGGTTTTCACCTCTGTTACCACAGTTTATTATTATAATACAAACATGCCTGTAAGTAACAGGGGCAGAAGCCAGTCTCCCCACATTAAGGAACCCCAGGCAGAATATGGTCAAAATAACTCAGCCTAGTTTACTGCACAGGTGAGCAAAGCAGGTTAAAAAGAACTGACATTGACTCCAACGTTGGCTCTTAGTCGATGCAAGTATTCCCCCAGCAAGCCTCCCTTTCTCTTCTCCCTGGTGTGGTGGCCCTACCACCCCTCCAGGGCTTCCGGCAGTATCCACTTCTACCCTGATCTAAGCTCCCAGGTGTCCACTTAACCTCAATCAGAGGTCAAAGGGCAAGAAACTGCAGCACGTCTGAGCCCACCCCTTATCACTTCACCTCCCGCATCCTCCCTCCATGTCAACACAGCCCACCAACACATCACCGTACAGCTGGGGCTGGGTCACCATGTCCCTGTTTACTGGTTCTCGGCCTGGTACACTTACATGGCCTCTCTCTCCGCATCTGCTGAATCTCCTCCTAAAACCATCAAGTTTTCTGACAGCAGAAATGAAATCATATTCCCCACCCCATCGGCACCCCCACAGAACTACACTCAACTTAAGCATTATTGTCAGAAAACACGGCCACTGCTTAGGTTTAAAAGTTGAAGGGGGCTGAGGGTTGGGGAGTATAAAATGGAACTTGGCTTAAGGCTGGAAGAGGAATGACCATATAATTTATAGTCACATCCTGACACTTTTGAGAGTGAAGGAGGTGGACTTACAACCAGCAGAGATAACTTATACACCAGGTCTGCCCCAGGGAAAAACAGAGGCAACCAGTCATCCTTGCTGGAAAGGTCATTCCATGTAGATGCTACTTCAGAGCTCCAAGTGGGGACCTCGAGTCCCTGTCACCATTTCCTATACTAGCAGCCAGAAGAAGCTGCACCAGAGAGAAAGTGGGGCAGAAAGCCCAGTACCAGGAAGTTCTTCCTTTTATCTGACTGAGATCTTTAAAGATTCAAGTTAATACCACTTCTTATTAACCTCAGGGCAGCAGAGAACTATGGCGTCAGAAGGCAGTCACAGAGAAGAAAAGACACGGCCTTGCCTCTTCCCCCTGTGGTAGGAATTCCTCATTCTGAGTGCAACTGCTAGTTCTCCATCCCTCAGCTGAGCCAAAACTCAATCTGGCTGCCCCAGAAACAGAAAGGCCGAAAAGGGATTTGGAGTCACCCCCAATGAGAACAGAGTTCTTCATTAACTTGTCCCACATTCTCCAGAGCTTTCTTCAAACCAAACCCAAGGAAGAAATGGCACCTGTGTGCCTGTTTTCAAGGCCAGAAAGTTCTTCCCTCAACCAAAACTGTAGTATCAGGAGACCTGAGCTCTGGGAGGGAGTTTCTCCAATCACAACGCCACTGCCAGACTCCAGAGTGTTGATTCAAGGGCACAACAGAGCTGGGCTGACTGGGGAGACCCAGTGAACAAGGGAGCCTCTCCTCCAGTCCTACCCTCCATTCCCCCAAAGCTGGCATCCCTGCTGAGAGCAAGGACCTTGCTGACTACTTTTCAACAATATAACAAAGAAGTTTCAGATGGGGGTAGGGAGGGGATAAGGATCTGGGTCCAAGAGGAGCCACGTATACAGGTCCCCCAGTGGCCAGTGCCCACAAGCCGTCCCATGCTCTCAGGCACACACCTTTACCCAGGGACAGAGTGGACAGCAGTGAAATGTTCCTGCCCACTCACCACCACCCTTCCCCTCTCTATAGCCATATATATTTTATTTTGCAAAAGAGATCATTTACGAAGCATTATATAAAGATAGGATGACCACGATCAACCAAAGGTAACTGAGGTAATGCAGATAAAAACTAAAGAGCAAGCAACCCTTCCCAGTATGACCTTGGACTAGTCACTTCACCTTTCCCAGCTTCAGTTTCTGCACTAACAAAATGACACAGTAAGGTGACAAGGTTGATAAGGTTCTTCGTGGATCCAAAGGTTGAACATTTATGTATTTCCTGAAGAAATGACCAAAGCAAAATCAGTGAAGGAAGGCAGAACGGAGAGCTTAATCTTTTCATTTCTACATTAAAAGGGAAGATTTGATTCTAGGAAACATGAGCATTCCCTACCTCCCTGGACCCACTTTTTCTCCCCCACTGACCTTCTCGTTCTGCTGATGTCAACCTTAACTGCAGGACTAAGAGTCTCATGAGGCCATTACATGGTCAAATTAATCTTGCCAGTGCTGATACTAACCTACAAACTCAGTTTGCAATTCCTAGCAGTCAGACTGGCCATAAAAGTGAAATTCATGTTACTTATGATCTAATAAACCCATTGCCTGGATGGAAATAAATCATTTACAGAACAGTGCCCACCCGATATCTTGCAGTCTTTTCAAATCCCCAAGTGCCAGGAGGGAGATCCCCTGTCCATAATAAAGTCAGTATCTTAAAGGGTGGGAGAGGAGGAACGGATAGAATCTCACACCCTCACCAAAAAAATGAATTCAGCGCGCGCTCTCTCTCTCTCACACACACACACACACACACACACATACTCCTCTTGCTTTGACTAAACAGAGAGAGTGGATAAGCTTTCAGGTTTGCCCACCTTTACCGTGGTTAATAATGGTAAGTGTGGAAAGCCCCTCCTTTTGCTGTTCTGTGTGAGTGTACAGCAACTGCAGGGCGCTCGCCTCCACTGCCAACTGCCGAAACACTAAAGAAAGCCCGTTTTTTTGCCCAAATGGAAAATGAAGCTTCACCCCTCCTCTACCTGCCTGAAACTACACCGGTCTGCACCTACCCTGGGGAAATATGCACTGCACCTCACGAGTTACCTGGAATACGTTTGCTAAAATCCACAGAAAGAGAGAAAGATCGACGCGATTCAAGCACTGACGGTTGTACTCATGTGAGGAAAAAAAACAAATGCAAGCCGGGAAGTCCCCAGTGGTGCCTGCACCTGGGAGGCGACTGCAACGGAGGGATGCGGGGGTGAGGAAGTGCCGGGAGAGGAAAAAACTGGAGGGAGGCGGGTTGCAAAACTGCTCACCTGTCCGTACACCTTGATGGGCTCGGGCTGCTGCAGGGCAGCGCTCCGTCTCCTCCGGAGCGGCTTCTCGTCGGCGCGGCTCGCCCCGCTGGCATCCCCGCGCGCCCACAGCCGCAGCTCGCGCGGGTCGCCCTGCACCACGAGGAAGCCCCGGTCCTGGGGCAAGGGCGCGCGGTCGCAGTGCAGCCTCTGCGTCCAGACCTCGCAGAGAGCCCAGGGCGGCAGCAGCGCGACCAGGGTGAATAGGAAGGGGAGTCGCGACTCCCTCCTGCTGCTCCGTGTCGCCATGTTCCAGCGAACGCTACTGCAGGTGGCGCCGCCGCCAGGAG